AAGTAATATACTTTTATGCTCAGGCACACAAATAAAAGACTTACAATGCTCAAACATACATGTAAGAGACTTTTATGCTCAAGCATACGAGCAAGATACTTCAAATTCTACAACACTTAGCTAGAGACTTCTTAAACTCTAACTTGCAGTTAAAAGATTGTGAAAACTACATTTGATATACAATTATATGTGTAGACAAAATACAATACAAAAAGACTCTTTAATACTTAAGAATTTCTTAGAATGTACAAGTGTTAAGAAATTATAACTTAAACTTGTGCTTTTTATTTGACAGAGTAACAACTCTTTAAATGTCAATAGCTCGGTATTTTTCTTCAAGTCTTCAACTCCTTATATAGAAATAAAGAAAAGAGTTGTTGACGATTTTGCACAAGAGAGTCTTTGAGAAGCTTGATTCAGAGACATTGAAATACTTCTTGATGTGGTTAATACCGTTGAAAGATCATTTGAAATTTCTTTTCTACAAAAGGAATTAGACTTTACATCCCAACTATCTTCTACATATTTTTGCTTAAGTCTTAACGTGATCAGAAGAATACAAAATGTTCACAGAGTCTGATAATGACCTATTAGAGTCTCCTCGATCTTTGCGTTGACTGAAACTCTAGAGTATGAATCTCCAGAATCTGGATCTTCATAGGCTGACTCTTCAGAGTCTAGATCTCAAATGCTAACATCATTCAGAGTCTAGTCTTTAGCTTCTGATCTTTCAGGATCTGGATCTTTAACTTCTCTTTTAAACATCCATTGTCAGTACCAGTACTAGGTTCTGTTTTTGAAGTTTTAGTGTATGGTCCTTCACACTTGAATATTTGTTAGTATACCCTATTGCTTTTTAAATACTTTGTTATCATCAAAATCTTAGAGATATGGTCATCATATGAAGGTTTATCATTACTAACATCATTATCATCATCGGAATGATATGGAACCATTAATGTCGTGTGTGTTTGTTCTTTATTCGTTCCTTCATGCGTGACTTGCAAGGTATCTCGTATTTCTTTAGCTGTTTTACATTGAGATATACGAAATAATTCATCCATACCTAAGGCTGATTGAAGCATGTTCTTAGCCTTCTTATCAAATAACATTTTTTTATCATCATAATTCTAAGAACTTTTAATCTTGGGTGTACAAACGCCATTAACCACACTTATGAGAATGAAAGGACCGTCTTCAAAAGCATTCAAATTATCATTGCCTTGTGCCTCATGATATGATTACATGCGAATTTTTCAAAAATTATAAAGTTCACCAACAAAGCTTGGAGGTTTGTTTCTACTACCACCATCTCTAAAAACCATATTAGCGGAAGACTTTTTTATCCAGATCTAGGAGCAAGTTACCTTAACCTGCTCTAATATCAAATGTAAGTATCAGAGTTACACTTAAGACAAGGGTGAATTAGGTGATTAAAATTTATGATTTTAGAGACAATATCAGCTTATTTTTATAGTTTAAAATATGATGATCAAAGCGGTAAAGTGCAAAAATATAAACGACACAAGAAATTATACTAGTTCCTCTAACAATCTAAGATTACATCTAGTCCCCTAACACACCATAAGATATTTCTACTATTATAGAATCTTTGTACAAGTCTTGCACCAAAATATATCCTACAATTTTTCTAACATAACAAAGAAGTACACCACTTTCTTGATTTCACAAGAAGCAAAACAATGATAGAGTTTGAATCACCCCGACTCAAAGGACCTTTTCCAACAAATATAAATAACAATACTTTCTACTTACAAACATCTGCAAAAAGTACATACCACTTTCTTATAGACAAAGGATATCACCACACCCGATGAAAAAATACAAATTTAAACAATTGATAATTTACACACAACTTTGAATGATCTTTGAATATCTTGACAATTTCGATCTTTTCTTTCAATGAATCAATTCAAAAAATATGCAAACAACAAGTGCTCAAGTTATTAGAAAGATTTCTTAATGAATGAAATTTATGCACAAAAAACTTATGTCAAAATGTTATGAACAGATTCAAAAACAGTAGATGAATTGATTGAAAAATATGATTTGAAAGAGGTTCGGAATTTTGGTGTGTTCTCTAATGCATAATTGTTCTTTATACATCATAGAACACCTCTGGATAAAGATGAAATCAATCATAAAGTTTTGTACTGATCTAAAATAGTTTTATCAATGAAAAATGCATTGATTCGGGTTTGTATTCGACTACAGAATGTGTGTAGTCGAATACAATCCTTCCAACGTTCTGAAAATTTAAACTTCCAGGACTTGTATTAGAATACAGATCTCAGTAGTTGAATATTGTTCGCCGTGAAATTTAGAGAACAACTGCTGGTCTAACAAATCTTAAAGACTTGTTTTAACTTGCAGGATCGACCACACTAAATCCTAGGACATGGCTAATCTGAGTTTAAAATCAAATGAAATTTAAAATAAAATAAAAAAGATAAATACTTCGACGGTATTGGAAATAATAAAATGGTTTTGGCAATAAAACAAGTAGAAAATGAAAGTAATTTGGGGCGAAGAGGATAACAATTTTAAGCAAAAGATAAAGACCAGAAAGTATAACTTGCATAAAAGCAGTAAAGTAAAGGAAGATTCTTATGAAAGAAAAGAAGAACTTTAATGCATTAAAATAAAGATGGTGTTTCGACACGTACATTCTCAGTTATGACTCTTTTCTCACTTTGACTTGGGTACTTTGAGTAATTTTCCGAGTAACTTGTACAAAATGAACACACTCAAAATCCTAAATTGAGTCGCTATTTATAGCCAGTCGACATAACCGTTCCTAATGACTCAATGGACTAGATTAAATCAAATGTTACTCTGCATGCTTTGATCATTTGAAACAGTGTCACGTTCCTCCTTCTATTGGCAGAAAATAACTGCATTTCTCTCCAGGATTCGAGTTTAAACTTCAAAGATTCTTGCCTATCGAATTGTCCGTCTTCTGGTCGAAATCCCCGCAACATCACCATAGTTGAAAATACTGTCTTAATTTAAAAACCTAATGTTACCACCTGAGCGTCGAAATTCAAGGCTAACAAATACAGCATGACTTTTATTCAAATATAGATCTTCGTAGTTAAATACAAATTGCACAATTTCGCCTCTGTTTGCATCTGTATTTGGTTACACTTTGTTGTAGTCGAATACAACCTCAATAATTTGCAAAAATAAAAGTTTGAAAAACTGTGAAACTTGTTTGAAATATATGCACATGCTAGAGGTTTTAGATGAAGATATTTTTGAGCACCTAATATTTATATACACATAAATTGTCATTGTACCTTAATCTTTTTCTTTAATTCATTGATTATCAAAGCTTAACCAATCTTAAAAACTTGATTTCAATCTTTTTCTCTTTTGATCTTTCTTCTAAGATAAATCTTTTTGTCTTCATTAAAAAAATGATAAGATGACGATGAACATCTTCTTTATAAGATGCAGTTTTTTTGTACTTTTATCTTTGTACCTATTCATTACAAGATTTTTTTTCGCATCTAAATAGTTCATGTGAAACTTTTTCTTACAAGATTTTTAAATAACGTATATCATATCAATGACTAAAATCAATCATAATACCAATGACATACATTAAAGAAAATTAAAAAAAAAACATTATAATGGCTAATACACTAAATGTAGCCAATTTGAAGCTTGTAGGGATAAAAAATATTTATATCGCATTCTTAGACACTAAATGTAGCCAATTTGAAGCTTGTCAGGATAAAAAATACTTATATCGCATTCTTAGAGACTGTTTTAAACTATACAAAGGCCTCTCTGATTTACAAATTAGTTTGTCTCATCTAATATAACTATAATCTCTAGATGCAATTACTGTGAATAAATGATTTCACAACCATATGCAATCCAAGTGTATGTTTTGTTCGGCTATCAAAGATGATATCCTTCTGATTGAAATATGCTTAACGATGGAAGATAAAATCTTATTGTAGTCAACCTCCTTCTATTATGAATACTCTTTTTTTATTATTGTCAATTTTCTCCTCTTTGGAATCAATTATCCTTTTTTTTCTCATGGTGAACAAACTCCCCTATCTTATTTTAGTTAGAGAAAGAGGAATGATTAAACAAAAAATTATATGTTGAATTACTTTGTCAATATGAATGAAAAAATTGTTTAGGACCACTATTGACTCTCTACTAACAGAATTAATTTTTTTCTTATGATTCCCTAATTATATTTGAAATATGTCCTACACTAAATATATATAGCTCTCTTCCAATTATATTTGGTTAGGTTTCTCAAAAGACAAAACAGTTTCTTCCAAAGCCACGCAAGAGTTGCAGTAGACATTGCATGTGCATAAACATATGGAATAGATAATAAAGCTATTCATAAAATTACGAAGACACCATGCATACATAGTACAGTACTTTAATATTGAGTATAATTAAAATTATTCCTAATCATAGATTCGTGTTTAGTATGATAGAAATTTGTGCTAAAAACATTACAGCATTACCATGTGGAATCAAACTAAAACAAGTATTTTACTTATCAGAAAATATGCCCAACACTTGTAACACAAGCATTACTCAAAAAAGGTAGTTAGAGATAGAGGAGAGAAAATCAAATGCTAAAATTGTATTGAGCATTGTATTCTAACAGGTAATTAGAGAAGGGACAATTAAATGCTAAATGGATGACAGAGTATGTTCTGCCAAGAACAAACTTTTCATTACCTTTACTGTGTAATAATAACAATAAAATTTGAGAAAATTACAAATGGAATATAATTATATTGTTTTTGTTTGCTTATGGAAAAGAATGTGACCTGGAGTTGGGGTCATTTACACTTCATTCAAATCTTACATTTCAATCGTAACCGGACAGCATAAACAATAAAATCAAAGAAGAAGAAGAAGAAGCAGATAAGGTAGCTGCTTTTCATTTCATTTTCTAAAAAGGCCAAGTGGAATTGATTCATGTTGGTAGTTCATCAAAGAGGACGAGTATGTCTTCCGGTAGCCCTACCACAAAGTAATGCATTCTTAGGAATAGGATATTCATCCCTGAGTGATGTTGAGTCTGTGTATACACGCAAGTAAAACTGTTGCCCAAGGTATTGCCTTGCCCAAAATTCAGACCTCAAGTTCCACATTCCCACATTGTCAAGTGGAATATATATTGCAGTCCATGACTTTGGATATACCTGAGTTGTACAACGCGAAACTGCATCTCGAAGATTGTACTCTTTCCTGCTATCACTTGTCCATTGTCCTCCATCCATACTGCATAATCATAAAAACCAAAACATTGTTTTTGTTACAAACTGTTGAAATGAAATTATGAAAATGATGTATATGTGTGCAGAGATAGAGCATACTCACCCAACCACAAAGAAAGAGTAGCCATCAAGATGATAGCTCTGAAGAATGTCTTCGTCGTTTTGGAAAACAATCTCTACATATGATCTGTAGTCAGTTTGCATAACAGAAGTGTCGGTGTATATACCACCGCCGGTTGGTCTATCAGAGATGCTTCCCGGACGGTAAACACCTGATATCTTGAAGAAGTCAGCTAGCTTAAGAGGAGTGTCAGGGGAAACATAAGACACGCTGTTGATCGCGTATCTTTGCTTTCCATTCACTTGTCCAGCTGAACTTGAAAGTACGATTGTTCTCGTTGTGTTTATCATGCCGTAATGGTATGATCCTTGTGGATTTGGTCTTGGTCCACTTGCTGTCAGGTTTGTCCTGATAGAACGGGCCTGATTCAAGGACCAGTCAATTTGGATTGTAGGCCCGCCAGGAGGTGGGCCTGAAACTGCACCTGCAGAGTTGCTATAGCGAAGAACTCCGGTCGAGGTTAGTACCGGAGAAGTAAACCGAGAGGAAACAACAATGTAATAGTCTTGACCCGGTTGATCTGCGGTAACTAGAACTGAGTATGATTGACCAACGTGAACATCAAGGGAGGAGTAGGTGGTTTGAAGGGTGTGTGTTCCTTCGACTTCTACTAGCTTCAAATTGTGGTTTTGTATGCGAAAATTGAGTGAATTTTCCAAGCCGACATTTGATATTCTAAGCCTGTAAGTCTTTCCTGTAACATAAAAGAGTCAAATTAAGTAAGAAATAGGAATAGCATGGAGCATTTAATGTGATGTGAAATGAGTACCTTGCTCGACATTGAAAGATGATCCTCCAGAGCCACGGCCATTAATAAGGATGCCATCAGGGAAAGGCAACTTCTTACCATTATCAAGTTGGGCTTTCAAATCCTATAATAACATAATAATAATACAAACAATATTTATTATGAACTACAGAAGAATTGAACCAAAATATATAGCAGCAGAATATATAAAATGATTAGTTACGTACAGTGTGATTGGATTTGTACCAATCTCCAATAAGAATAGTGTAATCACCGGCAGGATCATCAAACGGAACTGGAATCCTTGGCCTACTGAGGATCCTAATACCTCCAAAAGCACCGGCAGCTTTGTGGAATGAAAGAGATGGGAAATAATAGAAACTACCAATTTGATCTTTGACTTGAAGTATGTATGTAAAGTTCTTTCCGGGAGGAATGGGACATGTTGTTCCAAACACACCATCTTCGTACGAGTTCCTTCTCTGCTGGATTCCATTCCTGTGTTATTTTTAGCCAAAAGTCAATAATTATCTTGCTAAAACATTATTACTTCAAATTGTAACATTTCAACGAGTTGAGAGAGTGCACCCACACAATTAATTGTGTTATGAGTTGTTATGACAATAATTTAAAAGTAAATGTCTTTATTAATGATTTGGATGGGTAGCTAAGAACAGCAAAGCATGAGTAGACTTGCCAGATGTGGAAAGCTAAACTGATGTGCTGCTCTATTACTTTTGGAATCCAATATTAATCATGCCTCCAAAATGTTTTGTATCTAAATGAATCCATCATCTATTTATTTAAATTAATTAATTAACTAATTAATTAGATCAAACCTATCTATTTCAAAATATAAATGGATCTAATTCATCCAATTTATTTTGATACAATAGATTATCTCAAATGATCATTTCAATTTATTCAAAATTAATTTAATAAATAAATAAAAATTGAAGAAATAACAAAAAAACTTGGAAAAATACATAATAAAAATATTCAAAATCATTTAATTTAAATAAATAAATCTACGAGATATAACATTTATTATCAAAATATTAAGTAATGAATTCAAGTTTAATTTTTAACTTTTTTTCTTCAAATTTTTTATTTTGTGATGAACTTAATCTATTAAAATAATTATTTATCATTTCAAATATAATTCTATTAAAATGTACCTTCAAAATGAATCATTTATTAAAAAAAGTATATAGAAGTATTAATATACATCTATTTACAGATACATTAGATAAATATCCATCCCTAAAATTTGTTGATAAATAGATTGAAAGGTTTTTAGAATGAATGAATGGATTTTTCTAATAGGTTGTTTTGATACATTTATTATTATTCAAATAAAAAGTCACCCAATAATACATCCACTTATCAATACTAATTTAAAGAGTCGAAAAACAGAAAATTGATGATAAAGTTGTTGTCCATAATAACGTGGATGAGGATTGAAAATGGTTTGGCCTTTGGGTGTTAATGAAGACAAGAGTGAGGACGGCAGTTAGATCTGGATGAATGTTTGCGAAATGAGCGGGTTGACCCGTTACAAGACATGTGGTGTGTGTGACTCAACTTAAACAAACATTATCCCAAAATGGTTACCAGGATAACAGAAAGGGTTCGTCTAAGCTGTTGAAGACATTGATAATGAGGTTATCGTTTGTCACAGAATGAATGTCTGGACCTGGAAATTGCCCGTTGATAAGTATACCCTGTATGTTTCACAAAAATTACTATTCATTTTATTCAGATCCAGTTATTAATTAGCAACAATGAAATTGAAAAAAACAGAACCTGTTGGCGAACACCAAGTGGATAAATGTCACCGTATGTAACGTTCCAGCTGAAGAATCTGTATGGATCTTCACCAACAACACTAGTAGTGATGATGGCAAATAGATAAACTATTAACACCGCGGACTTATTCACCGCCATTATAGGCACAAACAGAGAGAGACTCACTCACTATTCTCCTGTTTCTGGGTGGTGAGTGAGGGAATGAATGAAGTCAAATAGGAGGGAGCTTCGCCACTTTAAAACATTTTAGTTACCCGTAATGCTAGATTTACGCGTTAATGTGTAAATCCAATCTTTTTTAAAATACATTTAAATACTAATTTCACTGTATTTTCTACCTTTACAATTATGTAAAACATTTTTGACATTTTCTTTTAATTAGTTTACTCACTTAATTCATAAACAAATGACATCTTTAGATTCAATTACGCGACTCTGTCATATATTCTGTTAAATTAATTAACTGATATAATTGAATAATAAATTTCTATTGAATTACTTTTTGATTTTACATAAATACACAACCTTTAATCTCATATAAATAAAAACTTTTAACTATTCTGATTTCTAATTTAATTTTCATTCTATCTTAGTTTCTATGACTAAAAAACAAAAACAAAAATTAATATTATTTCGATATTTCATTTGGAAATGGAGGTGTCGTATTTTTTAAAATTAGTTTAATATGTAATAATTATTTAATTATTTACTCAATAATATAATAAATTAATAGTTAAGTATAAAGAAATTATAAAAATAATAATTTACAATTTTTTTATAGTTTAAATAAATTCTTATAATATTAAAATTAGTATTTTTCAATATTTGATGGTTGTCCTGTCATGCCTTGTTATGTTGTTTAATTTTTTTTCTGCATTAGAGCATCTTTAGTATAAGTTCTGTAGTATTAAATTCTTTAATAGTAACGGTAGTTATAAAAACAATTTACATTGGAATAAGAATACCATAACAGTAAGTGAACTAACAATTAGTGGGAGTAAACTATATAACCAACGCACACTAAAAATATTTAGTTAATATCACATACAATCATATTAAAAAGTTGTAAATATATTATATAATATATATATTTAAAATTTTATGGTTCTAAAACATATTCTCTTTCAATAATTTGGTAGTATTTGCATAAGGATAGAGAGGAAAGAAAATGAAAAAGATGTCGGTGGTGGGGCGATTTTACAATGTGCGTGTTTTTGTGGCCCCACATCACATGCCTTCGTTTAGTGTTATTATTTGGTCAGTGACTGCTGCTGATTTTGTAATTCATGATTCCAATGGTTTACAACATGGCCTCACATGTCACCTTTTTAATTTATATACCATACTAAACGCCAACCATTCTTAACTATTCAACCCTCCATTTATGCACTCACAAGTGGGACAATATTTATATGTCTATCCAATTTTGTCACTATATGTATGTACTGTAGTTTAGTTAATGTATTTGAGTTCATGTGAATTTTTGTGTAGCCATATAGAAATCTGTCACTAATCTGCCCCTTGCTTGCACGTATCATCTAACCACTTGATGGATTACTCTCGCACGTGTAACAACTTCTCCATTTTCTACCTTCATTATTCTATATCACAATTTTTCATTTTTGTTTTATTTCTCTCTAATATTTTTAATTTTGATTTAACATGCCGTTCAGAATTTGGTCAACACGTCTGCAGCAATAACGGTCATCAAGAAAAGAGGGTGTACATGTATACACTCTGATACTTAAGTTAGTTCAGATAAAGAGGTAGTAATAAAGAATTAGAGAATAGAATACATGACCCTCCTGCAGAGGAGGGTATTTATAGTGAGTCTCTAGCACTTCGTCAAATGGTCTCCATTGTAGGCTGAGCATTCAGGCCCACAATGGATGACTGCCAGGACTTTCACGTGGGAGTAGGGATGAGTTCGTGCTCATCGTCTTGGGTTAACTGCTCCGCATTTCCCGGATAGTGGGATAATGAGTGAACTTGCCAGTTACGAAGAGCAAAATGGTTCCACGAGGTGTGCGGTTCAAGTTGATGACGTGTTCTCGAGTGAGGAGCACGTGGGAAAATGTCTCTTATTGGCCCCAGGGGATTGGGTCAGCATTCTGGGTCATCCTCGACGTAGGAATGGATTGGGTTGTGCTCGACGTTAGGTCAGCCACAGGCCCGATCCAGAATAAGAGTCCCTCAAGTTGTTGCCCTCAGGTATTGAATCAATGACTTTGTGCCAGTCCGTGTGTCGACGAATGGCAAGGGACTCCACACGACGAGAGCCTTTATTTATGCTCGCGAATGTGAGCTCGCGAGTTCGTGCTTCCGCGGACGTTGCCTCGCTCGTAACTCGTTGAATTTCGTTTTCGCACAAGGTTCATCGCGCAAGGATTGTGGTCGACAAAGATGTGTCGTACAGAGGCTGTGATTGGGAGATTTACTCGCGCTCACGTGGAGTGTTTGACTCTGCTCGCGGGTTGTCAAGTTGCTCGTAAGTTTGCTTCAAATTTTTTGCTGAGGCCATGCTCGCGAATGGATGTGAAAGTTCGTCGCCTGTGTTCGACAAAGGGTGCCCGACACCTTGGAGTCTGAAAGATTGATGGGACTTGAAGAGGAAAATGTGTCATCTCTTCGAGCCACGTGATGGAACTTAAAATGACAAATGTTTCGCCTATAAGTAGGGTACTCATGAGCTATGTGGTTGCACGCTTACCCATGCCACAGACATGGATTATGAATAGGTAGAAGCGAGGGTCATTTGTTCATTTCATTTTCACTCTTCCCTCAACTTTCCTTGTATCTTTAGAGTGTTCCTCCTCCGTCAGCTATCGTTGCCACCACCACGTACATTTCTCTAATCTTCAACTCAAGTAAGTTTCCTTTATCCAATCTTCAGAGCAATGTGTGTTTTCTTTAGAACATAGGATTGTTTTAGGATGCATGCTTTTGTTTATGTTAGGTTCTGACGGTGTTGGTGTTTGGTGGTGGTTTGGCCATTTTCAAACACCTGCGGTAGGAAAGTATTATGCTAGAAAAGTTAGGTTTTGAGTATAAAATCGCCATTGCGCCACCATTAAGGCGATGAATATGGCTTGTGTCAGTGGAGCTTGAATTTTTCGATGAAGCTCTTGTTTCGATGAGGGTCTTTCTCGCGAAGCTCATGAGTTTCTAACAAAACTTCACGTCGATGAGGTTCTTCCTCGTGACGTCTATGAATTTTATGATGAATATCCGTGTATTTTCTGATGAATCCTTGTGTTGAGGAGGATTTTCCTCGTGACGCTCATGAAATTTAGGACGAATGTCTGTTTGTTTTTTGATGAATCCTCGCACAGAGAAGGACTTTCCTTGTGATTTTTGATAGGTCGATCGAGACCTCCGACGAGGAGAGGATCCTCGCGACTTCCTCGCTCGCCGATGAGTAAGGGCCTTGATCAAAGGCAGCGTCCTTGTGTCTTTCCTCTCCCTTTCACTTGATTTACAGTGGAATGGTGAGTTTGATTTGATCGTCGAATTCACTATTGTCCTCTGCATTTCAAGTTTCTATGGCTCACAACGCTGAGGGGCTCTACCTGGTCGACATTATCATTTATCCTAAATTGGCTTTGGTTGGGCCGAAACCTCGAGGGATAGCCTCGTGTTTCGCAGATTTTTTGGAGAGCGCAATCACAATTATCGAAGAAGGCGGAGGTGTTGAGGGAACTCCGGAGAATTGAGAGGTCTATCATCCCGGCTGGGACGACCGAATCTGCTCGCGTTTCATGGAGAATCGCTTTTCCATGTACGAGTTTTTCTTTAAGGAGCCCAAACATTAGGTTATAGTTAGGAATGCTTGAAGCGATCCCATCCATTGTACAAAATAACTAGTTCCAATTGTGCTTATGATAGCTCCTAAAGTTCCAGTTGAATTTGATATTCTTGTAATAGTTTCATCAATGTTAAAACAAGAACCATGTCATAATAACAAATACTTAATTACACAAAAGAGTTCTTTCCATTTAATTACAGAAAAGAGTAAAAAAAAAAGGATATTTGAAACACATTTGCTCAAGTTTTTACCATGTAGAATTCCTGCATACTAAGGAGCAATATCATGATCATGTAAAAATGTAAAAGATGTGAGTCTATGAAGTTAATGTCTTTTGTCTAAATTGATGTGATTCTATGTAAAAGATGTGAGACAGTCTTTTTTTCTAAATTGATGTTGCATTTCCTCGAGTTTGTTCTCCGTAAACATTAGTTTCTCTTGTAATTCCATTATATGATTATCTTGAAAAGTACATTTTGTCTACACAACAAAATCATAGACTCATTCCTGTCTTCTTAATAGCAAAAAGGATGTTATTGAAATGAAACCCGATAAAAAAACAACCTTTAATTCCTCTATTTTCATGGACAAGTTGTTTAGTTTAGAGCCAAACGTTTCTGAAGAATCTTTAAACTTGACTATTTCAGTATTTATAGTATGCATTTGAGATATTTGATGGTCATAATCGCCCCTCACTTGTTGCAGCTCGCTTCGCATGGATGTAACCTCACTCGTATAAGTTCAAAGATAAAGTATTGCAATACATAAATGCTACATATCAGCCACGTCAACACAACGGGTGCGAAAAGATGTTAAATCCGATGAGTATCATAATGTTGAAACGCAGATAAAAACAACAATATTATACAAGCAACCAGAACCTCCTTATCTGCATACCGAACTATATCGGTATTAGCAGTGGAAATAAAAGCAAATGTACATATTACATTAAGATAAACCCTAATCCATCAAATACCAAAACTAACGGAAAAAACCAATATTCTTAATAAACAACCAATTTTTTTACAAAAATAATAAAAAAAATTAAATATTGATTTTTGAAAGATAGGATTGAAATGCCATCTTCAATGACATTCTTCGCCTTTGGCTACTCCACGTAGGCGATTGCGAGACAATTAGAAACAAAATACACACCATGCATCACCCTGCAATCAAAATGGACAATTCAGCAAAGAATGCAATGCATCAAGTCAAAACATCATAGTTTGCAAACAAAGCACCACATTGACAGTCCATAACAACCAACTTCTTAAACCTCGATCTCATTCACCTTTTCATCACCATTTTCATAGCAATCAATCTTTATCTTCAATAAAGTTCATTATTATCACCCACAATACTTCATCACCTTTAAACATCAACAACATAAATATACTCAACACAACACTAACAGCAAAGAATAAACACTTATGAAATCAAAAAAAAAAAAAAAAAACGAAGTTCACAATCACAGTCTGTTGTGATTGTAGTAACAACAGAAATCGAAAAAATTTCCAATCTTCGTCAAAACATAATTATACTAAAATGTTATTTCAACTTACAATAAATCTCAATCTCTCCATACTAGAAAAGTATGTAAATTTACATATTGTCAAAACAAAAAGTATATGTATCTATTTTTTATTGTAGTCGCATAGCATATATTTTTAAAAAAGTCAACATTATCGTGGAATCTACTCTAAATTCATTTTTTGTTATAGTATTATATTTTAAGAAAAATATTATTCACACATCAAATATTTATAACGGTATTTTATTATTCACCAATAATAAAATATAATAATAATAAATTTTAAAAAAATATATATTAAAAAAAAGTATATTTTTTATTTTTGGATTAAATGGTATTGATATAAAATTGTGTGATTGACTAACTTCATAATTTCATTAATCAACATTTTACATTTTATTAATCAACTTTGTTTTACTACTATTTTTTTTAATATTTGAGCGTTTATTAATTAATTTTATAACTTCATTAACTAATTTTTCACTTTTCATTAATCAAATTTGTTTTTCTATTGAAAATTATTTTTAATATTTGGACGTTTATTAACCAACTTCATCACTTCATTAATCAACTTTTTATATTTTACTAAACAAATTTATTTCGTTAATCAAATAAGGGAAGTTATTCAATTGCCTTATATTTTGTTTTTTAAATATAAGCTGTCACAAAATGACTTTTTTATTTAAGAATGATGTAACCGTCTTTCACTTATTATAATTTATCTTTGAAAATAATAATTTAAATATATAAAGGGTAAAATAGGAAAGAAAATAGGACTATGCGAGGTGTTTGGGGTTTGTTGTAGTTTTGAGGAAGTACCCTGGGTTGGTTCCTGATATGGATTTGATGTTAGATTGTATGGATAAACCTAGTATTAACAATGGAGATAGAAATAGAAGATGATTTTTAACAATGGAGATAAATCTAGTGTCAAAACAAAACAATTAATGGAAGTTACAAATGTGAAGTTTTTTTGTGAGAGAAGGAAGTTAGTTTTTTAATCGGTAACCAACAAAAATTATCAACAATTAAAGTTATTTATAAAAATAATGAAGGATAATTTTGGAACAAAAATAGGTCACACCAAAAATTTGTATCCCCTTTATATATAGTTATAGATATCCTGGTGATTGCTCAACATAGATCTCTTTTTGCAATTCACCGAGTGAGTTAACTTCAAATTGATAAATAGACCATAAATTTTGAGTTGTGGTTGAAATAAACAATCTAATTGTGTCAAGTCTAGCCACCAGAGTAAATATCTCTAATCAATCTCATATTCTTGCTTATAACCTTTAACTTGTGATAATAGAACTTGAAGGATGATTATTGTGTATGATCAATAGTCTGGAACAAATAATTTTACACCTTTAAATCCTTCAATTTTTGGTCATCTTGTTGCTTCTCCTAGGGGTTGTCAACACCCTCCATTCTCGATAAACTCTGATGCCATCTTCAACTAATGATCAATACTCTTTTGATCGCAAAAGTTTCTCTATCTAAATAGTCTAATCATTGTGGTAACTATCAAAGCTTCGAATTGCTTTACTTTACACGATTCTTGGCACTCTGTTTTTTCTATCTATACTATACATATATAAAGTTTTACTGTAGCAACTTTTTTCAATTTGTCAATTTATTTTTTTCATAAACTATCATATTTATAATTATTTTTTCTTTTTTCCAATCAAATTATTATTATTTTAAATAAATAATCACAACAAAATTTGTAGCTTTCAATATTTATTGACAAACTAAAACTTTCAATCAAAATTTGAAAGAGTGTCAATAATATTAGGCTGTTTAGAGATGAAAAAGAAAGAAGAAAAAAAACAAAAACAAATTAGTTTAAAATCAATATTACCATTTCAAGATATCTTTTCTATTTGATTGCCAAAGTATACCATATACATGTAAGAACTGCCACCAGTTATAGCTACTTTCAAACAGCCAAAGCCACTGCATATTTATTGTTGATAGAGATTTCTTTTGTGATGATAAACAAGTGAGAAATGTCCTAGATGTTATTATGATAGAGATAATAGATACTAATGTATCGGAGACAACGTCGAAACAGGGGGCAGAGGAGGCCGAAGAGCCTAAGTCTTGAGGCCAAAGAGTCCAAGTCTTTCATGCACAGTAATTGATAATATTTGTAATTTATATTTATGTTCAATTATATTTTATTTTTTATTGTATAATTTAATACTCATGACCTTAACATTTATAAATCATTATTTTTATTTTAATAATTATAAAGTTAACTTGCACTATTTTAACCGATTATGAAGATGCATCATCGTAAACCCTAAAAGAAGATGCATCTCCGAATCAATAAATATTTAAAATAGATTTTTCAAAAAAGGATGAATAAGATGTGTTTTAAAATATTTCGAGGATGCATCTCTAAGTCAGTTATAACATTTTAATTTAAACAAAAAATACATCTAAATATACATCTCCAAATCTACAGAATATTTTGGATTTTCCGTTGCAGGGTGAGACAAGAAATGCACCCACCTTTGATAGATAAGAGCATTATATAACAGATAGTCTACATGATTAAAAAGAGAGCCAATAATTTAAATAATGTTATCTACCTTCATAAAGATAATTTTAAAGAAAATTATACATGTAAAATAAAAAAAATACAGTGTCACCTATAATTTTAAATGTATTCCCTCTCAATTCAAGGGTAGACTAAAATATGAAAAGGCATTTTCAGTGTTGGAAGATAAATTCATTCATAAATGAAAACATTGAAACCACAACATGTACAAGAATATTTGATCAAAGCATCCACCGCCTGCAAGTCAAAATTACATCAATGTATGACAGTGGAGGCCATTGAACATCAGAAACAACTGTCTTTCAGTCATGTGTATAAATAAATTTTCATGTATGATCCAGAGGTCATGATCCAGAACGATAATCATTTAGGGCACAACACACCAAAACTCATTTCTAGCACTTCTCTGGAGGGTTAAGAGTTGGATTAGGACTTGTCCCTCTTGGAACGTCCTTCAAGCAACTGACCTACATCATCTCGCAACATCTCCAAATATTCCTGTACAAAGAAAAATAATTTTTGATGTGATTATGCACAATCCGTCAAGCAATGTAATAAAAGTAGTTTGCAAATCAGCATATCAAACACTAAATCATACAAATGTATACTTATTGGTTTATTGAAAAAAAGATATACTTACACCGGCAAGACTTTCATTGCGACATAACTCATCCAGAAGATCATCGGAAGCACTTCCATTGCCAGACTGCTGGACGGCATTTTCAGCTACAGCACGGAAGATGTCTGCAGGTGGACTCAGGCGATTAATTCTCTCTACCACTGGTCGAAGGTCAGGCTGGAGAAAGAAGGAAACAGTCATAATAGAACAACTATAGCAACAGTTTATGCTTACTTACAAGTTACAAGTTACAACAAGTAAGCCCAGATCTTATTAATGCTCTTCATAGTCCAAAAAATTTTTGAATCGCCTAGTTAAGCAACACAGAGGGATTAATTTACATGCCAGCCAACTGTATAAACAGGGCTGCAAGTTTACTCAGCCATTTTGACAGTTTTATCCATTGAAACATATAGTTACGCTTCAACTAGCCACAAAACTCAACAATCTTAATATAAAACCAACATAAGACCACTATCGACAGCATTTATATTTTGTCAAACAAAAAATGTAAAATAAGCAAAAGACATGCTTAAAACATAGAACAGGTGTAGCAAGGCAAGAGAACTTATAAATATGGACATTAAAATGTCAAGGGGGAGAAATAGAATTCAGCCTTGCTTGAATAATTTACTTGAATATTTGGTTTTACTCGAGAGACAACCTCTCGGCCTCTACTAGTATTCAAATTCAGATTACAAGCAAACCCTAAATCATTCAATGTTAGGAATCGATATATCTATTTAAAGGTGCACATTCTGTCACCTATTCTAGAGACAAATTGTCAAAGAAATCAAGATAATATGAAACAATTTCACTATACGGAAAGTATCTCCTATACTTATTTTTGTAAGTATTGCTTTCAGCCTATATAAAATCGACTCAGTTGTGTAGTTTGAAGTTTGAACACATAGTCTCATCATGTCTCTGATTTTCTCTTTATTTTGACCCATGTCATGTTGCTTGCGGGCAAAAAATACTTTCTGATGGTGTTGGAAAAAATGAGGGAGACTGGGCTTTTAACTCCCATTCTTCCAGGCAAGTAAGCCCCCCCCGCTATATAATTACTAAACTAGTAAGTACAGAAAATGCTTCATGCAAAAATAGAGAATGAAACCATTACAGCACCGTGTCGGACAGATAGAGCATGTTGATTATACATGTATATATTCACTATAACTTACAGCTAAAGATCACCCCAAGAATGAAAAAATATGTATATCTACATAATACACTTAAAGCTTCAAATAGAACAGTATGAGCTGAAAAGAACTTTCATCTAGTGCAAAAATAAACAGTTACTAAAGAGTCCCACGTTGAAAAGGGTATGGTCTCAATATATGTAAACCGATTTTGTAAGATTAAGTTAGACTCAACTACAATTCTAAGATGGTATAAAGGCCTATCCAAGATTTATTGGACCACCTGCTATCAGATTTCTGTCATCGAACCACCCACCATTTATTTATTATATCCACGACCAATTGGGCGTGAGAGGGTAAGTTAAAGATCCCACATTAAAAGGATATGGTTTCAATATATGTTTATAGGTGGGGGCAATCTTCACCTTACAAGACAGTTTTGTAAGGTTGAAGTTAGACTCAAGCACAAATAAGAATTTATTTTTATCTTAACAACACACATAAATAAATAAACATGCAAGCACAGTAATAAACTTCGCCTTTCTGTTAACACATGTATACAAACCTGTAAGTTTTGATTATCAGAATTTTCATTCCTGTGTGCAAGGGTTTCTGGTTCTGCAGCAGAGAATGGTGATGGAGGATTTCCCCCTCCAAGGGCTTGTGATACAATGGGCATCATCTGTTGAAACATCCTTGAGAAGTCGATGCCACCACCCTGCCCTCTTCCCATTCCAGATAACATATTTCCCATACCCTGACTGTCAACCTGCTGGGCAATCTGATTGACTGTGTTCATCATCTGTGGGCTTTGTGTGAACTGTTGCAACATGTTCCTTAAGCCATCAGGTGAGTCAACTCCTGTTTGATGTGAAAACCCTTCCAACAAACCATTCAAAGCAGGACTATGTAGAACCTGAGACATCAAACCTGCCACATCAATCTGATTACCACCGGGGGGCATGGGTCGCTGAGATGAAGGCCTATCCCCATTTATCGAATGAACAGCTGATCCTTGGCCAGCGGGTGTTTGCAATATATTTTGACTATCTGTCCTTGTTTCCTGATTTTGGTTGATGGAAGAACTGGAAGATCCATCACCGGCACCTTTACCAACAGGAGGTTGAAGTCTGGTCCTTCTCTGTTTTGGCACACATTTATGTAAGATGAGTCAAAATGTGGTTATGAAAATTTGAAAACAGGAGAAGAAGTTTTAAAACATGTTCGCCAAGGCTCTGCTAATGAACAAATGTGTCAAATTTACAATTATATATTGTTAATGTGATTAAGTAGGAAGGGTTTGAGGGAACTACTGCAGAGGGTATGTAGTGGCATAGCATGTCGCATCAATTAGGAAATTCAAGCTTCTCATTCACAAAAACAGAAATATTAATCTTACCTTACGCTCCAAACCACTCATACCCAGTCCAAGAGGAGCAGTTTTGGCAGGTTCAGTTACATCTCGTCTTTCACTTGCAGATGGAACATCCTGTACTTTTTCTGATTTTACCATGGTTTCTCCACTAGAAGAACTCTGTATATCTTGATTGGAAGAACTTGAAACAAATTTGTCGACCAAAACATCTCTCTCGTCATTACTACAGGTTTTGATTGCCTCAGTTTGGGGCTGGTTGTGATCAGACAAACTAATAGTTAATATAAACAGGTGCTTGTAGGGGATAGATATATCACCAGGTATGAACAAAGGTAATACCTTCTCTACTCCACTTTCAGAAGTGCAACCAACTGAAGATGCACCAGCAGCCCCACATTCATTCATCTCCACTGTATCTCTCTGTTCATTTACCTGTGCAGATCTTAGTTCAGGTCCAGAAGACAGGTCCCTGTTAGTTGATTGTGTTTGGCCTGAATGAATGCAAAACAGTTTTAAAATTAAATATGATTGTATTGAGACTACCTGTATAATGAAACTATATATACCAACAAGTTTCTATGGTAAGGATAGATTTAAGCTAAAAGAGACGACAAAGTATAATCAATGCTATTGTATTGAGACCGAAACAATAAATTGCTAACCACCTGACAGAACTGGGTTATCTCCTTGCAAATTACCAACAGAGTTTCTAAGGCGAGAATGAATTTCCGCTAAAACAGATGACAATGCAGCTGAATCAGGTGGTAGCTGTGAAGTAGATATACTAAATCCAGTTGGTGTGCTACCAGCAGCTCCGGTGCCAGAAGGGTTAGATGAGAGAGTTGCAGATATGACATTTCTAACAGGTAAAACACGTGTCGAACCTGAATCACCAGAACCAGACTCACTACGGTGTTCAGTCCTTGTCCCTTCCCCATTATTTGGTCTAGAGCCAATGGCTGAAACAATTGGTGCAAGAGAGGTACCTGGCAAGAGTCAAAATTAAAAAATGTTGTATATTTCATCAGGGCAAGCAAAATTAGGGCCAGTTTGGATAAACAGCTTATTTGCAGCTTATAGCACAAGTGCTTATCAAAATAAGCACTGATGAATAAGTTCGCATAAGCTATTTTTATAACAAAAAATAAAATTAATTTAAATTGTTTTTGTATATGTTATAAGTTGTTTTCATTAGCTATTTTGAAGAATTTATAAAAATATGTTGAAATTTTTTTATGAAAAATGTCATAGGCTGTTTTGATTAAGTCTCCCCAACAGCGTCACAAAACTTATGACAGTAGATAAGCTCAAATAAGCTCATCCAAACAGGCCCATAGTTTTATTTACCAGCATGTATGTGAATGTTCACGTTCCTAGGAGCATTTCCAACACCAACTGTGCCTAAAGTTGCAGGAGTTGAAGAAGAAGGTGGACCGCCAAACAGGGAGCTTGTCTGGAGTGGAAATGGCTGAAAATGACACAATATCAGTAAAACCAGAAACATAAGTCTTCAATGATGAATGTACATTGATTGAGCATACACAATTACCAACCCCTAGTAAAACATGATCTAGATTGTACAACAAAAACAAGGTGTTTGAAATTAAGATCATAGAAAATTACTACACCAATAATCGGCTACAGACATACAAAACAAATTAAGTCTTCGTTGTAGTATAAGATCGGGTAACAATCTGAACTTGTTCTCACCCCGATGGTTGTATTAGGAGGAGATAAACCTAATTTCTAAACCACATGAGCCAGGAAAACATGATGTTTGCTTCAACAGAGATTTTCTCAAGTAGAACTTTTGAGCACTCAATGAACCGAATCCAAAAAAAGATGCAAAAATATTATGGCAAAAGTATAGGAATAGACGCATAGAGGCATGCAACGTGGAAGCAGATTTTGGGAAGCATGCCACTTGCACACTTGAGGACAGGGTTTCACCTGAGGAGCTGGTAATGTTAGGATACAAGGAAGAAGAAAATTTGAGATCATTAGGGAGGTAAAGTCGTTAAAGGGTGTATCATATAACTGGAGAGTCTTTCTTCTATTATCAATATTCAAAAAAATTACTCTTTTCTTTCGATTATTTATTTCTAACATTTTCCATTTCCTTTCGTTTCCTAGAATTCAATCTTAGATTCTTTATCAACAATCTATTTGATGTTGAACCAGTTGATTATTTATAATTTCCAGTTTCCAGTTTTGAAATATCAACTCTGCACAGATTATTGCATGTCTTTATCCACTTAGTCGAATCATCAGATAATAATGTGAATATATTAAAACTGACAAACCTGCGCCATTATTGGATTTGGTCCTGATGGAGAAATATAAACTGCTGGTCCAGAATTAACAACAGATTCTGCCTGAAATTTGAATATGATCATGAACAGTACTTTGGCAAAAGAAAGCAAACCAAATCGCAAATGAAAATAACTAAAACATACAGAAGATCGTCCCATTCGCAGTGTTAACATAGTTCGGCCTAGTTCAAGTAGAAGTGCACCCAAATGCTGCATAGCAATTCCTATCTGTACTGACTCAGACTGTATTTGACCTCTTACACCTAGATCAACAGAAGTTCCTTCTCGCTCCATGCGTCCTGCAATATGCTAGTCACAAATTACAAGTAAAACAAAATCAGATAAAATAAAGGATGAAAATACCGACAATTTGACATTAACAAATCCATACAAATAAAATGTACTTCATATGACAACATTTGGGTTTTAATAAATAGAAGCACTTTTGTTTTCGACTCGGATACTATCAGATTCATGTATCATTGCACATATTTGAGATGGATGGTTGGATACAGAAGATTAGAATTTTAACCAACAAGAGGGTATTCAAAAAATACATCCTCCATATACTATGTTATCATTAACTGACACAACAGAATATGGTGCATATGGGTGGTGGTTCCTCAATTAATTAAACTGATATTATGAATACAAGTTCAGGTGTTATCTTGGTCCATCAAAGTACAACATTACTAAACTAAAAGTAGTAAATTTCCATACATCAATGCAAAGGTTTAGTTAGATACAGAGAGTTCATTGGAGATAAAGAGCATAGAAAAGGAAGACTCAATTACTTTCAGTTCATATAAACAAAAGTTTTACCATCAAAGCATGTTCATAGTACCAATCATTATGGAGACATTTATTTCCTCCCAACACTCACCCAAGCGCACATATATAACACATTCACAATTTATGGTAACAATGGTTAAAGTGTTGAGACAATTTAGTTTTTTTCAAAATGTGAACATATTTAGGATTATTCTAGGCAAGTTTCACACATCCCTTTTAAAAATACGCAAATCTTCTTGCAAGTTTCCAATAAAATTTATACTGCAACAGCAAATATCCAATAATTGCAAAAAGTGAAAAAGTGCCCATATATATAGGATAAGTTAATTACAGATAGCGCAGAAACAGCTTGACCACTAAGCAACTGTTCTGCACGATGCAATACAGTGGTCAATGCTTCAAGTGTTGGCAACCCTTGTGTATTGGAAGGCAATTCTTGATCTCCAGAGTTAGTTGAAGATATATTTGGCCCATAACCTGCAAAATCAAATTTAAATATTTCAGTTCAGTGCCTTCACGATTCTAGATAGAAAGGTAACAATTTCAACACCATTACCGTTTTGTGAAAGTATCTGTTCCATGCGATTTATGAACTCAGACAAAGTGTTGAGTGAATCAGGAATTGGCTGAAATGATGCGTGGGAGAGATGGAGTTAAAAATGGTATGAAAATGGACTAAATTTAAAGAATTAAAAATTAAGAGGATATGGAGAAGAGAGGCTATATTCCTACTGCATTGAAAGAAGGAATGGGTATTGCTCCTGCGATGGTAGGAATCTGAACAACATGAGGCATCGATTGGAATGCCAAACCAGGAAATGTCTGTCCAGACGGTGCCTGATTTCCAGGTAGGCTTTGATTTCCTTCAGTTTCATTCCCCGGTGGAGCCTAACAAGATAGATTCAAACCCAGTTTAGGTGCACACCCACTTAGTTCAAATGACATATATTGTAGTACACATGTAGCAAAACAGCGTTTAGCAACACAAGAGGACAACTCTTTTGGCCGCACCGACCTATTTCAAAATTAAACTAATGATGGCAAACAATGTTGTCGATGGTGGATGGCAGTCCATGTTGGAGAGCCAAAATCCCGCCACACAGGCCGCTTCGCAGCGTCGTTATAGCAGATTATGGCGGAAAGACCCACAATATCGGACAATATTTACCTTTGCGGCGAGCCCGAAAACCGCCATGTAACTGCCATAGCAGCCATGGCGCCGTTATTTGATAACATTGATGGCAAAGAAAAGGAATTAACCATGTCATTATAAAAATCATAAGGAAAAAATCACGTTTTATTATTTTTCCAAAAAGGGGGGAAAAGGTGCCAAAATAGGTAAATAATCATTTGTAGGATACCTGACATATAGGAGTATTAGGACAATAGATGAATATGTTTTACACGAAGAAACAAAACCAGCTGAAATAGTTACAGCAACAGGTGATCTGATGCTTCATGATCTAAGCAAATGAAATTGAAAGGACATGTCGAAGGAATCTTAACAACAATCTTTTTTTTTTTAATGGCAAATTGTTAGTGGTTAATTGTTGGTATATATTTGTACCCTTGCCAGGACTTGAACTATAGATCGCCAACTCCTTTTAACCATTAACTCAACTGTTTCAGGCCAGTCGAGCTGCCCTTCCCACCCGAACCTTAACAACAATTACCATTCACTTTCATGGATGATCTAATTACAGATTAAAGTCATAGATGATTGTAAATTTAATTCAGAGTGGTAAATGATTCATGTATAAGAAAATTACATGTGCATACTATAACCCAGTAAATCACACAAATTATGACGGTAATTCATATTTTTTACAACAAAAAAAATAATACTAACTGAAGAATGTTGTGTGGAATTAGGAATATTAACTGTGGTCTGGCCCCCATTGGCAATGGAATTCAAAACTGCCCCAATTACCTGAAATCATAATACAGCAATAAATAATGTTTCTTGCGGAAAACCAAAGCAAAGCATTATCACCAACACCTATATGAAAGAGCAAAAAAAAAAAGAATAGAAAGCATAAGTATTAGATACTGAAGATAGATGCACAGAATGCATAAACAAACCCTAGTAAGGTCTTGTGTGGTGCCTTCAACCTGTTCCCCCAAATTAAAAGTTCCAAGAACCACGCTGTGTGAAATTTGGCCAACACGGTTACGAGGAGCTCCTGATCCAGCATCGTTTCCTTTCAAAAGACAGAATTTAGCATCAGCATTTAGCACAAGACAGCTTAATCTATGAAAGGGGAGCAAAAGAATGGTTTAAGTTATACCTCGGTTACTGTCTGTATTAGTTGTGTCAAGAGAAGCCGAAGCAGAAGTCTGAGGCGGATTTGGCTGTCTTTCAACCAAATGCAATGTATGGCCATTCTCAACATCTTAGAATGGATAAGGATTACGTTGTAAAATAAATAGATTAGCATCATAGTATGATCCAAACAAACATGAAATTGTAGTTGAAGCCAACGCAATGTGTTAGACCTAGAAATCCGCATATTTAAAAGGCAAAGTGATAAGTATGATCGTCGATGCTCGAGGTGATATAAGTATGGTTAAAATGAAATTGTAGAATTTGAAGGATACGATAGTCAGAAAGAACATGTTCATCCTTCAAGACTTTTCCTCTAAATATGAGGCGCTGCTGATCAACGGGTACACCAATTTCATTTGCAATTTTTTGTTTGAACAAGGTAACGGGCATCTGAAATAATGAAAAATATGAGATATAGAGGTATAATGTAATATTAGCTGGGAAGAGGGTGGGGTTTATAATCACATTTTTTTGAACTTGAAAGGTGTAGTTGCGGGAATCTAAAGTTTTGATATTGAGGTGAAGAGTTGAATCAGAAGAGCCTTCATTTGAAGATTGACCCTCCATGGTATTGGTTCAGCTGCAAAAACAACTGCAACAGAATTGAAATGTAAAATCAAGAGTAATTAAATAAATTGATAAGACATAAAAAAGTTGAACCTAAATGCGTCAATAATCGAAGCATGAATGAATGATGAGATGAGAGAATAATAGGTGAAAGTGCGATTGAAGGTGAAGAGTACCTAGGTCGGTCGAAGAAGAAGTTGAAAATAAGATCTGCGGCGTTGAGGAGAAGATTCTAGAAGTGATTTTTGAGGCACAAGCAATGAATCAATAACAGGGGACGGGACGGAGGATGATTTCCACCTTTTTATTTTATTTTATTCTCTCAATAACTCTTCCTTTTCTTCTTCTTTTCTTTTTTCATTAACATCTCCAACAAATATACAGCCCAATAACTTTATTTCTGCCCCCCCCCTTTCTTTTCTTCATTTCTATTTGTAAAACCAAATCATTCTTTTCATTTCCTTCCACCACTCATCGATTTTGTTTTAATAATTCGTTATCCATAAACATCCGTTTTAGCAAACATTTCTAAACTATATATAGAATGAAATACTAATTACAATAGATTTTATGATTTTCTTGAATATACTCTCCTAAAAAATCTTATTTTGTGATAAGTTGTTTTTATCTACACAAAGCGTTTTTGCACGCAATTGAGAGAATTTGATTGTCAAAAAATATGTTCGTATAGAATTTGAAAATAGTAAACTTTTGTTGATGTTCATCAGAATGAAACTGTTTTTTATGATAAAGAATGTGGTTGTTAAGTTGTTGTGAAAAAAGTATTTGGTACAATACAATGAAAGAGAAAATACCCAAAATGTGGAAGCTACAAGGAGGAATCGAAATTATGGATATTGATAACAATTCTTACATGGTTAAATTTTATATTGTCATTGATAAAGAGCATGTAATTTTAGAATGGTCATGTATGTTATTCGACCACTACTTCAGAGTATTTCATTAGATATCGAAATTCACTTCACCAAATGTTAAGGTCGACATAAGTATCGTCTGGATAAGATTACTAGGTCTAAATCTAGTTTACTATGATAAAAGCTTCTTACTTGCTATGGCATCGGCAATTGGTCGACAAATCAAAATAATAACAATATGTTGAAAGTGGAATGGGAAAGATTTGTCAAAGTTTGCGCGAAACTGGACATCGCCCTTCTTCTAGTAGTTGAAAAAATTGGGTAAATGGTCATTGGTACAAAACATAATATGAAAATCCATATCATTTGCACTTGTTGTGGATGATATGGACAACTGAGACATAATTGTAACAAACAATCAAATACTTAAAGTGAAATTCATGTCAACCAGAATGATCAGATCGGACAAACATCACATTAAGATCCATACATGAATTATGAAGTTATGACTTAAACACACGTGTTAACCCATTAGCATGGTCGCCCACACGCAGGTAGCGCCTGCAACATAGAGTCAATGAACATAGCACCGACAACTCTAGTCTCATTGGCAAAGCCTTAAATGCTAATGGTATACATAATTATGGCATTGAAATAAAGGGAATAATAGTATGCACTTTACTAAATCTTTAAATGATATCGGGTTAAAGGAATCTTTGCAATCAAATATTAAATTAAATGCTAATTGTGCGCAAAATCCTATACGAAGATCAGATAATTGTAACTAAAAAAAGTCATAAAAAAAACAAAATTATACTTTAAAGGTTCCTTCAACAAGTCATAAAAATAGTGTTTTGCCCAAAATAGATAAAACTTTTTAAAAAATTACATATAGCTTGAAGTAGCAAAAGTCGGACCACTTTTTAACCTAAATAGTAAAAACCAGATCGATTTTTCCTTACCCATACAAATAATAAAAATTGGACTGAATTTTCTAGTCCTCCCAAAAACTTCAAAATCAAGTCCCACACTAGTAATATCAACAAATACCACCTTATCTCTTTGGACCCAACATTTTCAAAGGTAAAAGGCGAAGGCATGATGATTAAGATTTATCTTCTTTTATTCAGCTTTCTAGTCCTCAATTAAATAACCATATCCTATATGGTATTATATATACACCCCTTATCCAAAATCGACACCATCACGCCCTTTCCTCAAGTACACTAATTAATATAGGTGACAAAGTTGACCCTCGAAGCATTGATCAACTTAAAGTTTTTTTTATTCATTAATGTCAAGAGGAAGCTAAAAAGAACAATGTAGATAGGGTGAATACAAGTGACATGCAAATTCTATAAGATGATTAAAGTTCATTTATGTTGTGTCTATTATTTGATTTTTTTAAAGGATTATATTATCTTGGAATTACAGGGGTGCTCAAGGAAAAAAATTGGGAAGGCACTAAAAAATTATTGTACTCACTTAAATAAAATGGATAAGGTTGCACTTTAAGAAACTAGATTTGCCAAAGGTATCTGGTTGATGTGGAACATAGACGACTTACAAATTAGCATACAATTTGTCCATCGCATCCCATGTGTCTTTTGCACTTTCATAGTGCATGATATTCTCAAAGATCTCATTGCTCACACTTTGATGTATCAAGAACATGGCTTTCCTATCCTTCTTCTTCAGATCTTTGTGCGCAACTTGTTCTTCTGTTGCATTGGTTGTTAGGGTTAGTACTCCTTCATTCACCACTTCAAGAACCTCTTGAAACCTGAAAATTACCTTCATCTTCACAACCCATTGATAGAACGTTTTACCTTCAAACATTGGTAACTGTGTAGAGATGTTGTTGCCGTGATTTCCCATTCTTCGAGTGTCTTCTTGCAGCAATTATGGAATCGGGCTCTGTTATACCAATTTGATAGAACAATCATGCAATGATGCATCAAGAAATGAGATGAGATTGGTGAAAACTAAATTGTATGAAACTTGCAGTAATTGCATTACATTGTACACCACATAACATTGGCTTTTATAACAATCCAACTAACTAACAAACGAGCTTAACTAACTAACAGAATTACAAAACTAATAGACAATTAATGTTATAACGGATGCTATGACAGCCGCTACTGAACAGACTATTAAGCTAATAATCATTTCCACATCCAAACGAGCAATGTCTTTGAATGTTATTCAAAATACCTCTATTAACAAGATTATCCTTCGTCGGGATTTTGTTTTGCCACAATCTCCAAACCAATGTAGAAACCTTAAGCGGAACACTTTTATTCAAAGCCTATGCATACCTTCTCCTTTCTTCATCACATTATCTCTTGAAATTAGCTTGTAAGCTTCTTTTACCGAGAATTCTTTGTTACACCAAAGCCACTTATCTTCCACATCTTCACTAAATTTTATTCTTTGAGCTCTACCTCTAATTTCCTCTTCGATCTTCCTTTCCTCTTCGTTAAGGATTCGTTCCCACAAAATATTCAAGTTCACCCCTTCTAAATTTCTCTCCACCACTTCGTATACCGCCGCCTCTTTGTTCACAGCCAACTTTAACATTTCTGGAAAAATGTTCTTCGAAACATGTCCCTCCACCCAAGGATCACTTCAGAACCACGTTGCAGCCCCATTACCTAATTTCCTGCACATCCTTTTAGAAAACCAATGCAATTTACAATCCCCTACCCTGTTATCTATTATGTTTAAATCTTGCTGCTAGCTTGACCCACTAACCTTCCATACAACCACTATGTTGATTAAGTCTCTATACTTACTTGTTAAAACCCTAGGCCAAAGACATTGTTTTTCGGTATGGAATCACCAGATGTACTTATTTAGCAATGCAATGTTAAAAGTTCTTAAAATTTTTAAGACCTCTGTCCCCCCTCTCCCTACATATCATATTCCATTGTATCCAATTTACTTTTCTATTCTCCACTACCCCACCCCACAAAACCTTTTAAATATTGACTTAAGAGTGGATATAACACCTGTCGGTGCTTTTAAGAACGCAAGATAGTATATAGCTAATGCGTAGAGAACTTATTTAAGTAGCATAATTCGTCTGTCAATAGATAAATATCGTCTGTCATCTGCATATTGGAGGTGTGATATTATTACCTCTCTGATCCCAAACTCATACCCCTAGAAACTATTTAAATGAACACATTTCGATATCATTGTGTTAAGTCATTTTGCTGCTATCAAGAATAGGAAAGGCGACAGAGGGTCGCCTTGCCTCAAGTCCCTACCAACTCTGAATTCTACAGTAGGGCTGCAATTTACTAGAATCGAAATCCTAGTACTACAAATGCACTATGTAATCCAGCTTCTCCCGTTTAAATTAAATTTCATTTTCTCCATCACAAAGTCGAAGTATTTTCAATCCACTGAGTCGCAAGCCTTTTCGAAATCAAATTTAAACAACATCATCTCTCTTTTTCTTCTTTTTGCATTTTCTACTAATTCATTTGCCACCAAAATTCCATCCACCATTTGACAACCTTTTACAAATGCACACTACGATTCCAAAATTACTTTTTTAATTACCGTCTTAAGTCTATCTGCCATCAGTTTCGATAGCACTTTATACATACTTCCAATTAGAGTGATTGACCAGAATTCGCTACGTTTTGTCAGATTTTTTATTTTCGAAATGGAAACACAATTTGTTTCTTTAACTAATCTACTATTTTGGTGGACTCATGTATGAATGTATGAAAGTCATTTAGCATGTGTTTGGTAAATCATTTAAGAGGCAATTCTCGCATCCCTAGGCCAAATTAACGTGAAAATAAAGAAGCTCAATTAGAGCCTTGGACAAACACACATATTTGGTCTCTTTAATGTGGAAATAAACAGATACTTAGTTTCTCGAGTCTAAGTAAATTTACCATGTTCACGTAACCCTTTTATTTCCGACCATATTTTAAATAAAAAATTATAACAAGACATCATTATTCAAATTATGTTTTCTTGATAGAAATGAAAGCCACAAAACACTTTTATTCTCTCAAGAGGATTAGAAAGCACTGAACAATATTGCTGGTATTTACCAATAAACAGTCCTGTGACATGATAAATCGATAAAGATTCATCATTTACACAAATACACTAGAAACCTATACTTTACAATCTCAAAAGCTTTCAGAGTTTAGATGTAGCAAGCGCGATGAGATCCTTTCGAAGAATTTTACCAGATGGATTTTTGGGTACAGAAGATATGAATGCCACTTTTCTAATTTTCTTGTATGGAGCCACCTATAGAGAATATTAAAAAGAAACAATTTAATTTTGAAACTCAAAATACAAAGATGTAATAAAAATTGTTGAGAAGTGTTTCAAACAAACAAACCTGTTGTGCGACAAAATCCATAACTTGGGTGTGTGATATGTTACTTCCAGGCTTCCTTACCACATATGCCATTGGATACTGTCCAACTTCTTTATCTGGGAACCTGATATTCATATATTCAAAACATAATTTAAAGCAGACAAAATAAAGATAGTAGCTGGTATATAATTGATATTTAAGTGAAAGGGTTACTTACGGTATGACAGCAACATCTAAAATATCAGGATGGTTGAGTAACAAAGCCTCTAGTTCTGCTGGAGGGACCTGATATCCATTGTATTTGATGAGCTCTTTCAAGCGATCCACAACAAATAAGAATCCATCAGTATCAATATAGCATACATCTCCTGTTCTTAACCAACCCTCTGAATTAATAGTTGATGATGTTGCCTCCTCGTTGCTAAAATAACCTGCCAATGTTCATTAAACTTTTATTCACTCTGATCTGTGTGTCTAATATCAACAACCAATTGTAGTAGGTATTTATTCTTTCACAAACTATATTAATTATAAACAACTTCAACAGTCATGCACGTTTAATAAATTGTTACTATTAAACACTTTATTTTAGAAAGTGCTGGAAATGACGCACTTGTCAAAAGTCTAAGTTTTATTCTTTCATTTACTATTTTAGTCATACACGTTTAACAAATGGTTAGTTATTATAACGCACTTTTCAATAAAAATGTTGGATAGTTAGGCATCTAATTTAGTCAAGGATTAGACCCAAAGCGTAGTTTAAACATAGTATTAAATTAAAAAAAAAAATAGTTATGTTCTCATTCTCATCAACTACAAGTATAAAAATAGACTAATCTAGTGATGAAGATTTTAAAATATAAACTCGTGGATCCATGAAAAAGGATGTTTTTTCTGTAAAATCTAATTATTTATTTATTCAACTGAATTAAAAACATGCAAATATTTATTTAATTGAAAACAAAAGAAACACATGGGATGAATGGAAAAAAGAATAAAAGAGTAAACAAACAAACCTTTCATGATAGTGGGACCCCGAAGCCAAAGCTCACCGGTCCGGTTAACCGGTAGCGGTTTACCAGTTTCAGTGTCAACAATCATAGCCTCCGTGGAAGAAGAGACTAGCCCAGCCGTGCCGTACCTACGACTCTCTTCCAAAGATTCAGTGGAAGATCCAACTCCAGACGACTCTGTCAGCCCATAACCCTGAAGGATCTTAACATTGGGATACTTTTCAATAAACCCTTCAGTAACTTCTTTACTCAGAGGAGCCCCGCCGGAGAGAACCGTGTGAAGGGAACTCAAATCGTACTTGCTATTAATAGCATCTGCGTTGTTCAACATAGCAACCAGTATGGGCGGCACCAGCGGTAGGAACGAGGCTCTGAATCTCTGAATGGATGAAAGCAAGTCGTGCATCTCGAATTTGGAGAGAACAACGATGGTTGAACCCAAAGCGAGAAGCCCTGTAGCGAACACCGCGAGACCGTATATATGAAACATTGGAACCGTGCATATGAATGTTTCTCCACGATTCTCTTTTGATTCACTGAACCTATCTATTATAATTTGAACCATAGCTATGAGGTTCTTGTGTGAAGATACCACTCCTTTGCTGGGTCCAGTAGTTCCCGACGAGTAAAGTAGAGTGGCCGTGTCGTCCTGGTTGACTCGTTCGCTCACTCTACTCAACTCCGGTTCTTTCTCCATCATTTTCTCTAGCGTGTTTGTTGATGAGGATGAGTTGCTGTCGGTTTCCATGAGAATAACTGGGAGTGATGGTGATGCTCCGGTGATTTTGGAAACGAGTTGAGGGGTTGTGAAGGCGAGGACAGGTTTGGAGTCAGCGATCTGCTTTGCAATTTCGCGTGTTGTGTTGAGGGGATTGGTGGTGGTGATGATGGCGCCGAGGGACATGACGGAGAGACAGACGACGGGAAAGTAGATGGAGTTGGGAGAGAGAAGGAGGATGACGTCACCTTTTCTGATTCCAATGGTCGAGAGCGAGGAGGTGACGGAATCGACAGCTCGCCAGAGTTGTTGGTAGGTGATATGACGGCCGGTGGAGGCATCGATGAAGGCGATGTTGCCGTGATGGGCGCGGGAGGAGATGAAAGTGGTGGCATCTAAGGAGTAGTTTGGAGGAAGAGAGAGAGGTTTCCTCTTGCTGTAGAAGATTGAATTGGAACTGCAAAATCCACTTCTTGGGTCGATTCTACTATTCAGATTCTCACCTTGTAGTACCTCCATTTCTTTGTTTGGTTCTTTTGCGTTTGATCTATGAAACTGGTGGGTGGGTATTATATGTAGTACTAGTACCATGTGTGAATTGTGATGACCCCCTTAAATTTAAACTATTAAAATATAATTAAAACAATAATAAAATTATAAAATAAGGATATTATATTTATTTTGACTTCAAAATTTAATCCAAAAATAATAATTAAATATAATAAAATGATAATTATAGAGAAATTGTTCCCTTTATTTATTGTTTTGTAAAACGGCATATATACATGGGTTTTGGATTGTCATCGATGGACGGTAGTCGCATTACAATGGTCATACGTGTGCTGGACGGTCAAATTCTTTCCATTTCCAATCAGAAAAATATCTTATTCCATGTTCATTAGTGCTATATTCCATGTTTACACTCATGACACAATTTGTACCAATCAGAAAAATATCTTATCACCCGTGCTTCATGCTTATGGAAACAAATTTATCATACATTTTACTACTAGTATAAAAAGTACATATTTTATATTATTATTATTTTTTAAATAACCATCATTTTTAATTAACTTTTTAAAATAATTAATATTTTAAATAAAATATCAAAGATTACATAGGAGCCACCACGCATGGTGCATGCTTAAATAATTTGCCACTGCATGTGGCGCATGCATGCATCCTCTAGAAGCATGCGATACAGAAAGTGATTACTGCTTTGTTTAGGATTTTCTATAAATACGACATCTCATCACCATCATTTTTACCCATTTTCGAAGCCTCTCCCTCAATTTTTTTTCAAAATGTCATCATATATGTTATCTTATATTCATGAGAGAAATGTCAATTTGATTTATTTGTCAGTAAAATATCTGATGAATATCTGACTCTAGAACACTTAGACGTTCGAGCATCTTCAGAGGACCTTTATCCATTGGTTTGATGGAAACATTGCATACATTGAAAAGGTTAGAAGACTTCAAAGCCTTGTTACGGTGTACAACGACAATGGAGAAATTTGTTTCTAGGACTCAGTTAAAATTACAGGGATTTTCGTATTATGATACACAGTTGTGAGAAAATTGTCATGATGGTTGTAATCGCATAGTTATATTGTTTAGTCATTGTATTTGTTTTTTTTTTTTGTTGTTTGGTTATTGTTTAAATTATTGTTTAGTTGTTTAGATTGTTGTAACTGAATGTTGTGATATTTATGAAATGAACGTTGTTTTTCGATATCAAATAAAATGATTACATATAAAATTATCTTGTCTTGCTTGCTCCAGCACTGGGACAGTTTGTACGATTGTGTCTGGGCTGACGACATGAACTACATAATCTCACCATTTTGTTCGCCGTGTCCATTTCGGTTTGAATATCCGTGTTGCTAAGACAATCTTTTTTCTTTCTTCGCATATTTTGATTGTGTCAAAATGTCTCTCCTTGATATGCAGACTAATAATCATCATTTGTTACCACCAGAAAGTTATTGTTGTACACATTGCATAGGTTTATGACTTTATAAACGATGAATAGTAAGTTAAAAGAGTCATGTCGAGCCTTTGAACATGCCACTACGACATGGGATCAAGGCATACATAATGCTTGGAACTTTCCACTATCGCACCAACCTCTATCGAGTTCTACTCGGTAGTATCTCCTTGGTATCCCCTCATTGTGGTCTATTTTCTCATCTACACTAAATCAGTCTTTACTTTGGTCAAACACTGTAACTACATGTGTGTTAGCTTTAGCCCTTTGGCGTCCTCTCATTGTGGTCCATTTTCCCGTGTGTGTCAGCTTTTCATTAAAATGTCACTAAACAGCTGCCCCCATCGTAACACCGAATCCTATTTTGAATGTTTGATCTCAAATAGTGATCCAACCTTAAAATAGGTTGCTCTCACCAAAGTGGTTATCGATAATTTTCAGATGTCTTTGAAGACATAGTTAATTGATTCAACGAGGTTGGTTGTCATGTGGTTCCATCGTTTACCATTGTCAAATACCCTATTCACTTCTCCAATGGAATATTGTCGATATACACTGTATTGCATCTGCATTTGTTAATCTGATGTCTTCACGGTAGTGTTTGAAGGAAGGTTCTGTAAATGCATACCCTACACTCACAACCTTATTCTGTAACGTCTTGTCTTTGATCTCCCTTATGAAACTTTGAGCGATGTGTCTAATGCAGTAGACATGCATAAAAGGGGGATCCTTTTTAGTTGTTATCAAGGTTTATATAACCACTCTGAATTGATGGGTTTTTTCTCTAAAATGAAGCATAAGTTACGCTGAGGAGCAACGTTTCATTAGAGATTTTTAAGAAAAAACTTCATCCACCAGCAATCTCCCTTTCAATCAGAGCGAAGGCGATTGAAAAAAATGTTATCGTTGCCTTCTTGTGCCACTGCCATGAGTAGCATTCCTTAATACTTATCGTACAACCATGTTCTATCAATTTGTATAATAGGTTTATAGAAAGCAAGACCTTTGATACATGGTTCACACGCCCAAAAAAGTCGTATGAATATACCACTGCCACTAACACAAGTTCCATCTAGGGTATTTGTCGAAAAGGTCTTCAAAATGAAAACAGTCCTCAAAGCATAATGCTTAAGTACCAGCAAGTATTGTGGAAGTTCTTTGTACGAATCCTACTAATTTTTGAATACTCGTTCAACCGCATTAGTCCTAGCTATCCATGCCTTCATTTATGAAGGAGTATAATTTATAGTGTAACTTTATGTTAGATTATTGTACTCGCCTTCAATGACGGATCGTTGCTAATGACTGACAAAATTTCATAGCGTATTGGCTGAGTGTTGACTTTGTGATGATCTTGCATTGGATTTGTGGTCACGCAAGTCTGAGCTGGACCATAGAACTTATCTCCCAAGATCACCTTTATTCTGGTAAGATGTTGCCAGCCGGAACATGCAGAACACATTACAACGCAAGATCTTATACCTCGTCACATTATTTCGATCGACGATATAATCAACATAGATTTCCATGTGATACTTTTTAATACATAGAAAAAATTTAAATATTTTATATCGAACTTTATTTTTATATAAGAGAAAAAGTGTATTGATGATCCAAATACTTTTTAAAAATGAGAACAAAGTGGCATCAGAGCTTGAAGGTCCTCAAAAGATGGCGAATGGAGGTTTCCCTTTTCAAATGCCGATACTCACAAAGAACAACTATGACAATTGAAGTATCAAGATGAAGGCGCTACTAATATGTGTGGGATATTGTTGAGAAACGCTTCAAGGAGCAGGATGAAGCCTCATTAAGCCAAGGTGTAAAGGAGACATTAAAGGAGTCAAGAAAGAGAGACAAGAAAGCTCTCTTCCTCATTTATCAATCGGTGGATGAAGATACATTTGAGAAGATCTCCAATGCAACGACGACCAAAGAAGCATGGGACAAACTTCAAACTTGCAACAAAGGAGTGGAGCAGGTGAAAAAGATTCTTCTTCAAACTCTTAGAGGTGAGTTTGAACGTTTATTTATTGAAGAGTCTGAGTCAGTTTCTGATTATTTTTCTCGAGTATTGTCCGTAGTCAATAAACTTAAAAGAAATCGTGAAGATGTTGATGAGGTGAAAGTCATGGAGAAAATACTTCGCACTTTAAATCCAAGTTTTGACTTCATTGTTACCAACATTTAAGAAAACAAGGATTTAAACACCACGACTATTGATCAACTTATGAGTTCCTTACAAGCATACGAAGAAAAACAAAAGAGAAAAACTAAACAAAAGGAGACTATGGAATAACTACTACAACTCAATGCAAAGGAAGCAAACTATGTGAGTTACAAGAGTCAAAGAGGACGAGGTTGTGGCCAAGACCGTGGACGTGGACGTGGACATGAAAGAGAAAGAAGAGGAAGTTACAACAACTACTCCAACAACATCAACAATGGAGAAAGAAGTTGGAATCCACAAGCAACAAGAGGTCGTGGAAATGGAAATTCATGGTCAAGGTGCAACAAGTTACAAATCAAGTGCTTCAATTGCAAAAAAATCGGTCACTATGCATCTTGACCATGAACTTCCATTTCCACGACCTCTTGTTGCTTGTGGATTCCAACTTCTTTCTCCATTGTTGAAGTTGTTGGAGTATTGTTGTAACTTCCTCTTCTTTCTCCTTCATGTCCTTGTCCACGTCCACGTCCACGGTCTTGGCCACGACCTCGTCCTATTTGACTCTTGTAACTCACATAGTTTGCTTCCTTTGCATTGAGTTGTAATAGTTGTTCCATACTCTCCTTTTGTTTAGTTTTTCTCTTTTGTTTTTCTTCGTATGCTTGTAAGGAACTCATAAGTTGCTCAATAGTTGTGGTGTTTAAATCCTTGTTTTCTTCAATGTTGGTAACAATGAAGTCAAAACTTGGATTTAAAGTGCGAAGTATTTTCTCCATGACTTTCACCTCATCAACATCTTCACCATTAATTTTAAGTTGATTGACTATGGACAATACTCGAGAAACATAATCAGAAATTGACTCAGACTCTTCCATAAATAAACGTTCAAACTCACCTCTAAGAGTTTGAAGACGAATCTTTTTCACCCGCTCCACTCCTTTTTTGCAAATTTGAAGTTTGTCCCATGCTTCTTTGGTTGTCGTTGCATTGGAGATCTTCTCAAATGTATCTTCATCCACCGATTGATAAATGAGGAAGAGAGCTTTCTTGTCTCTCTTTCTTGACTCCTTTAATGTCTCCTTTACACCTTGGCTTAAGGAGGCTTCATCCTGCTCCTTGAAGCCTTTCTCAACAATATCCCACACATCTTGAGCTCCTAGTAGCACACTCATCTTGATACTTCAATTGTCATAGTTGTTCTTTGTGAGTATTGACATTTGAAAAGGGAAACCTCCATTTGCCATCTTTTGAGGAACTTCAAACTCTGATGTCACTTTGTTGGAAATAAGACCTTTTGTGTTTAGGAAAAGTGTGTAAGAATGTTAGAGGCTTAAAGAGAAATTTGATAGGTAGAAGA